TTATTTATTAAAAATATAATATTTAGTAAAAATTAATTTATATAAATTTAAAAAACTCTCACATTAACTTTTAATCACATATTTTAAAATTTACAAAATTAATTTAAAATTTTAAGTATTACAATAATTGTTAAAATTTTGAGATAAATGGTTAAAAATTGCTGTAACATTTATAACAGAGTAAGTTGTAAACTACAAAGAACAGTTTTACAACGAGTGAATTACATATATAGAGGATGGGGGATTTCAAAGTATATGAACTTGTAAACAGGTTACACGCTTTGCTCAAAGAATGGGAAAAAGACGAAGGTGGACAAGAGAAAGTGATTAAATTAATTACATGGTAAGGGTAAAGTGGACTTGATAATGGGTCAGGATTTTTTTTCTTTTTTTGTGCAAATGGAAATGTATTAATTAATCAAGTCTTATACAAAAAAAGGTCTGATATACAATATAGTTATTGCAATTATAAAAAAAATTAAAGTAAAAACAAAAATAATAAAATAGTCATTTGTGAGTGCGCAATAGGCGGAACGGGTCAGGCTTAAAAAGAAAATACACCCTTCAAAATGGAGAAAAGATGGCAGACAGAACAAAAAGATAAATAAAGAAAAAAGTAATGTTTGGGCCATAAGGTGTCTGTTGAAATCAAGCTTGATGATGGGTTCAAAGAAGACAACAAATTGATCATGTCCTAGATAGAGTGCTGGTTAATAAATTGATCATGTTGGATTTATTATATATTGTTATCTTGCTCGACCATTTTTTTTTTTTCTTGAACGGGATATAATTTACAAGTATAATTTAAGCACATATATATCAATTAGTTAACAAATCAAAACTTCAAATAAATTAGTAATTTTATCAAATTAATTACAAATTAGAAAACAATTAGCATTTAGAACAAAGTTTAACTCAATTAGCAATTTAGTATCTAAAATGTTTGAAGAAAGAACAATAGTATTCTCTAGAGTAGCGTAAGCATAGATGCTACGTGATTTACTTAATTTTTGAGGGTAATAATTACCATTTGGTAACCCTACAAAGAATTAATATTTTATTGTCTCAAAAATGTATCATGGAGTACACACTGTGACAAATTAAGTGTTATAACATAAGTTATGAAATACAATACTATTGTAAGCATGCATAGATAAAATAGTCTTATCATT